AAAGAACAAAGTCTCGATTATCCATTTTGACGTTAAATCATCCATCAAAAATGTATCCAAATCCAGTAAATATAGCAGGCTAGCGATGACATTGAGAGTTGCTTATGGTCTGGATAAGTTAATTAATGTCAAATTAATAATTTAGATAACATTTGAGGCTTAATAAAGAAAGACCTGCAATAGGCAGATTTAGCTCTTATCTAATAGTATGTTTATTTATAACGAAACTAATAAAAAAAAGAAACAGAAGTCACTCGTTAGGATCCCTTACTATGTGTAATAGATGGGTTGTAAGTACTGTAGGACGTTATATTTATGTTTAAGGACATTATTTACTCCTAGTTGGGATCTATTACTATGTGCAGTAGCTGACGTGTAAGTATTGTATGTGAACAATGCAGCATAGCAAACAGTATTAAATTTATTATTCTATACGAATTGAAATAAAATGTGGGTTAACTTCCTATTGTTCTGCTCCGACTGGGCTAATGAAGACGGGCATACGCCATACAGTGTACTATGAGGGAAATTTTGCCCGAGCAGCATTCTTCTATACACATATTATGTTCTATTATATTAAACGACTCAACAGACTGAGTCAACCTAATGTTGTCTTTTAAGAACAGCTCCTTACTGTGTATTTGGATATGTAGTTCAGTGCGTCATTGTTAATCTATGTGAATATTATTAAAGAATCCACGTGACTTAGCCGGCAACCCGGTTTACACAACCGGTTAATTTTAAATGACTAGTCAGATAGTGCTCTATTTTGCGGGACTATGGAATGAAATGAAATGAAATGGGGTTTAACGTCCTACTGTTCTGCTCCTATACTGGGCTAATGAAGACGGGCATACGCCATACAGTGTACTATGAGGGAAATTTTGCCCGGGCAGCGGCACTATCGACTACTCTTATATCGAATTCCAACTGCCAAGGGATCTTTTACGTGCATTCCAATGTTTACACGGGATCTCGGTTTTTCGTCTCATCCGAAGGACTAGGCCCTCCGTCCTGCATCACTGACAAGGGGAAACCACGCCGGAAAATCGGAATGAACTTTCTCGGCCAATGCAGGGGATCGAACACCCGACCTCCAGGCTAGCGAGCCAGCGCCTTACCCACCTAGCCACCGTTGGTAATACATGTAAAGGTGGAGTGAGCCCAAACAAATTGTAAAAGAAACCAATGCAGTTGGGTTCAATCATACATATATTAGACAGCATCATACCCAAATACCGAAATCAAGCAAGGCGTAATGACATAATTAACATAATTCAATATTAGATATTTCGGGCTTATTTTAACATTATATGATACGACTTACCATAAAAACCTTATTCATCAACAATGGAAGTCTGACCACGTTTGATTTTTGAGGATATGACCATTTGGTCCCACAATCAAGATAGTTAACTCTTAGTAGCAATACGAGTTATGTCCCTTGGTCACATTAAAATTATAACCGACGCCCCTGTAACGAAAACTTCTTTATCACAGTCGGAAAACATCATTTATTTTCTTGCTGCGAAGTAATGGAATACACTCAATGAAACGATTGAATTTAACAATACACCCACGCCTTCAAATGTCTAAATATTAATTGCTTATAATGCTGCGGTGGCAATTAAAATACACATTTAGCTGGATATGAAAAGATGACGTTTGACATGATTTTATTTAAATATTAGCCTAATATTAAATTGAATAGATCTTTCATTTCTGTATACCAACAGACATCGGTCTGTTTATAATGGCATGTAATACAGAGGGGGGGGGGAGAGAGACCTCTATAAATCTAATAATTTAACACTTTATTTTAGTCCCATAGATAAATAAATATAATATTGTGCAGTATGATGTTTGTTGTGAAAAAAAAAAACCAAAAAACAAACAAACACATTGCCGGATAAAGTACAAGGAAAATATTCAATAAGTATTACAAACATACAATAAAGATTGAGGTTGGGGATGTGAATTCGAAGCTGGTGTAGTGGGGAGGGGTAAATTATAATTTCGAAAATAACGGTCCAGCAATTTCGTCGTGATCTTCCAAAATTTCGCGTAATGTCGTTAATGTAGTTTGCGCAGTTTTATTAGCCATTGCACGAAGACCAAGAATTAGTTGCGTATATGTCGAGTCAGCGATTATTGCATACTGCCGAATTTAGAACCAAATTTTGTATATAACGTGGTATTTTTCACTGACTTAAAGGTTTCCGAAGCATGTTTTAAAGATACACCGACGTTCACGTGATATTGATTGCACGGTAATTTTTGATGGAGTGTAATTGGATTTTAGTCCCGCGACAGCTAAACATGCGGTTATAAACGCTGCTACGTTATCATTCGAAACGTTTAGATTTTTAAGTTCCATGACCAAATAATGGCATTCTGGGGTGTAATCTTTGATTTTCGACATCATACTAAATTACTTCGTTCATCTTAAAAGGTTTGGACTTGCAACCAGTTTTTTTACCTGAAAGTTTTTTTTAATTTTTATTATTAGCCTTCATGCAAATAATTTCTTTTCTAGTATTTCAAAGTCGATGTTTTAACTGGGCAATTGTTCTTTTATGACACTCTGACAATCGCCGCAAATACCTATTTTTTCTATTTAAATCAGTTAAGGTTTTCTATTAAATCAATTCTGCCGATGGAGTCTCGTCCGCTATCCCAGGCAAAATGGGGTTTCAAGAAAATCGTCGTATGATTTTATAGATTTATTGGACTTAGCCTTACTTTTACCATACTTCAGAGTCTTTGTATTCAGTCTGACCAGTCTATTTTGGATGTCTTTATCACCAAACGTCACACAGTCGTCATGTAAAGAAAGCAGTTATGATAGACCGATGCTCCGTAGCTGTCGAGAATTTATTAACAATACCTAGTAGTTTGGTTACAGTGCTCAAATCATAGGGGTACTTGTCCAACCCAATGCTGGATAGCAAATCATCGGTGAACGCCATCTTGCACGACTCAGTCTCAGATCTAGAAAAAAAAGTCCGTCGATTAACGCTTAAGGCCAGAAATTAATTGTAAAAGATAATAAAGTGTCTGGAAAATAAAGACTACAAATAAAAATTTTGTTTCGGTTATTTTCCGGTCTCAAATAGTTCTGCGTATTTAGAGCTAGCAAATATTAATTTCCTGAACTCACGAGAGTTGTAGTGAGTTTATGATGCCGCGCTCATGAGTTTGAAAGTTAGAAAAAGAAACAAAGCTATTACAGCTAGCTCTGTACCGAAATCGCCAAAATCAAAAATTAAATAAACGAGTGCAATTGAAATGTTTGCTCAGGTTCGCTATTAAACATACATTATGCAAGAGCTAACTCTGCCAATTGCAGGTCTTTTTTTTATCGTACCGACTTTAGTAATGATGATCGAGGCTAGGCCTAAAATTCAATCGCTAAATTCTTGGTTCAGAGTGGATCAATTTGACTGAAATCTTAAGCAAATTCCCTATACATTATCTAGCTTTTAACTATTATAATGAGAACTGTCAGCTCTTTATCTAATCTCACATAATGTATCTTTAAAATAACCGCGAAGAGCGTAATAGGTGTATTTTTATTCGGCTTTATATAACAATGCGTGTTTGTGGAAAGCTATTTGTGACATATATTTGCTGCGACCTCCGAATCCATGTGCGCGGGATTAAGCTTTGCTCACTTTGGAAAATCTCGTCGGTGATGCAGTATGGCAGATTAGTATGTCAGTTTTTATAAGGACAGATGTTTGAAGCGTGAACCACTCTATCAATATGGCGGTCTGCATGAAGTTTCTGAGAGCGATAACCGGTGGGGTTTATTTGTGGGACAATAACTAGATTTTATTTAAAATCTTACAATCCGAAAATTGTATTTTTCACATGGTGCCGGCCGTTGTTTTTCAAAATGACTGCCATGTCTTTTATATGGTGATGTCTTTGCACTATCTTAACCGGGGTTAAAAGTGATTTCGATATATCAAGTTGTTAAGAATTTGCGCCCTAATATTAGTTCAGAAATGGTTATGCGATCCGTGTTTACAGCCCATATGAGTTGTGGTATCATTTCAGGGATAGACTGAAAGGGAGTATGGTAGTTTCAGGGTTTCCTAATTTTAAACTAGTTAATGTTCTTGTGTAGTTTGTTGTTCTTTTTAGTCATGAATTTAAATCGTTTTTAATGAATTGTTGAGATTGTTTAGCGTGCTTTTTTTAGTGCAATTTCTGTTTCTTCATGTGGTATGTCTTTGCACCATCTTCATCGGGGTTGAAAGTGGTTTCGATATATTAAGTTGTTAAAAATTTGCGCCCTAATATTAGTTCAGAAATGGTTATGCGATCCGTGTTTATAGCCCTTGTGAGTTTTGGTATCAATTCCAGGGATGGACTGAAAAGGAGTATGGTAGTTTCGGGGGTCCCTAAACTAGTTAATGCGTAGTTTGGGAACTTCTTTTAGTCATGAATTTACGACGTTTTTAATGAATTTTAAGATTGTTAAATATGTGAATAAGCTAGAAAGACCAGGATATACAGTCAGTTTTTCAAAAAAAGAACTCGAGTCCGGTTATAGAACCCCACCCCTTATAGTGGGAACCCCTCAGGTAGGAAGAATCGGGGTTCATCAGCCCCTAATCCGTCTCTGGTATCATTTAGACCGATATTTACCACAGGTTCATTAATGTCTTATGTATTTCAAGTATTACTGTAGCAATCAAAAAAAAACTTGTGAAATTAAGTTATATTTTACTACCCTCTCGTTGGTTTTGTGCGCCATTTTATTACCAGACTTGGCAGCCATTTTGAAATAAATGGCCGGCACCATGTGAAAAATACATTGTTTGAATTGTGTTTTTGTCAAATTCTTTTTTTCGACACTTTGTCTTTGAAGAGTACCTTTTAACCAACGGTCACATTGATTGTGGCCGCATGTTATACACTTCACTGGTTTATAGTCTTTGATCTTTTAGTTCCCTGTCCTGTGCTTAACAAACTGTTAGTAACATCTCAGTTTATAGCCTTCAGACATTACATCAAGATTCACACAATTAAACTATATCGAACAATCAATGTAATAATAGGATCTAAATTACATAATACGTAATGTACTTTACAATAGCTGGTAGCAAGTAAACAATAGAGGGGTGAGTATAGTTTAAAGGTTATTAATCTTTAACATATGCCATATTTGACGTGTTTTAGCGCATGACATCTTAAGATAACTCAAAATAGCATATTTCATTCTAACCATATCTAATTAACTTATTCCTCATCCCGAAATATCTGGTTGTACAAATTGGTTATTAAAATGCTATTTTAATGCAAATTGATAATAGGAAATGTACATTTTTTTTTATTAAATTTACCTGCTGCTTTTGACACGATGAATCCTTCTATTCTTTTACGTAGACTTCATTTTAAATTCGGTATTTGTGGCTCTGCATTAGATCTATTAGAAAGCTATCTTGTGGTAGAAAACAGTGTATTTTAGTTAATTGTAAATCGTCTTCTGAATCTGTTTTTGTCAAGGTTCTGTTCTTGGTCCGATTTTATTTACCTTTTTACACCACAATTAGGTGATATTTTCAGAAAATATGGTCTCAGTTTACATTTGTATGCCGATGATACTCAATTATACACGGTGGGTAGGTGGTTAAGACGCTGGCTCACTAGCCTGGAGGTCGGGTGTTCGATCCCTGCATTGGCCGAGAAAGTTCATCTGGATTTTCCGACGTGGTTCCGCCCTTGTCAGTGATGCAGGACGGAGGGCCTGACAAGGACAGCTGTCTAGTCCTTCTGATGAGACGAAAAACCGAGGTCCCGTGTATACATGGGAATGCACGTAAAAGATCCCTTGGCAGATGGAATTCGATATAAGAGTTGGCGATAGTGCCGCTGCCCGGGCAAAATTTCCCTCATCGCACACTGTATGGCATATGCCTTTCTTCATTAGCCCAGTAAAGGAGAAGAACAGTAGGACGTTAAACCCCATTTCAATTTATCAAATTTGCAACTGTATTAGTGAAATTAGAAAATGCATGTCAAAGAGCTTTCTAAAATTGAATGATGGTAAAACCGAATATTTGCTATTAGGCTCAAGGCATCAATTAAGTAAATTTGCACATGATACCCCCCCCCCCCCCAGTTATAATTGGTAATTGTGATATATTTTCATCTTATTCTGCCCGTAATATTGGCGTAGTCTTTGATAGTTTTATGCTTATGAGAGCTCAAGTAAATAACATTTGTAAATTGTGCTATTTTAATATCAGAAATATAGGTAAATACGTACATTTGTAACTGTAGAGACCACTAAGTCACTTGTTAATTCTCTGGTCACTTCTCGATTAGATAACTTTAATTCACTTTTAGTTGGTTTACCTTTAAAGCTTATTGATAAATTATAAAAAGTACAGAATACTGCAGCTAGACTTGTTACTTTAACTAAGAAATGCGACCAAATAACTCCTGTTTTATATAATTCACACTGGTTTCCTTTTAAATATCGAATTGATTTTAAGATTTTATTACTTACACGTACTTTTAAATGTTCAAATAATTTAGCTCCCGTTTACCTCTCAGATGTTTTAGAACTTTATACACCTGTCCGAAAATTACGTACATCAGATAAACTACTTTTACAGCCCAAAACTGTTGAACTAGTCTCTTATGGTCAGCGCTCTTTTAGTTATCAAGCACCTGTTTTACGGAATAATCTACCATTTAGTTTCAGATGTAGTACATCTCTATAGTCTTTTAAAAAAAAACTTAAAACACATTTATTTAATCAGGCTTGTAACTGACTCTGTATACAATCGTTAACATGTCCATAATCTTGTTGTATATTTATGATTACATTGTCACTTTGTAAAGTGCCCATGAACATGTTTTATAAAAGGGTGCACTATAAATAGGCTGTAATAATACATGTAATAATAATCTTAAATGGTTATTGTGAAGTTATTTTAAAACTCATAAATCCAACTGTTTGATTTCATCTAATGAACAAAACACAAACACATTTTATTTTCAAAATATATAGATAAATGTATTTTTAAAAAATGTATACATGTTGAAAATTGACATCAGTTAAACTAGGGTGCAATTGAAGCCTGTCATATCTACATCCCAGATCTAGTGTTACTTTTTCGTTAATGTTGTGGTATACACATACTTACTCGGTTCATTGTTATGATTGGCATATAGATGGCGTTAATGTACTTTATCTTATGTTACATGCTTTAAGGGACGGACATTGCCAGGTAATGACTGTCCTTTTAACATATAAACAAAATAATCATTTCTGCTCGTTTAACTTGAAAACTTATCTAGTAACCTGAAATTATCAAGGTTATGTTTCAATAGCATATAGTTTAGATTATTCAGGTATTACCATATTAAACTGATTATCTACTAACCTGCAAGAATCAAGGTTAGGTTTTAATAGCATATTTTCGATTATACGCGTCTGTCTGTTAAAGTAATTCCTTTGTCGGTAGATGTGAACAAAACATACACAGCAAGGGCAATTGCGCCGTCAATTTTTAAGATCTGTATATCTGACCATAACCCTTTAATAAAGTAGAACGTTTGTGAAAATTCTAATGTTGCGTATGTGTGATGTTTCCATGTTTAATTTTAGATTTTTATACGTACAAGATCTGTTATATTACACCAATCAACTTTAACACGCTTACATACCATCACATCCAGATTGAAAGGGTGGGGGGGGGGTGGCCACAAATTCAAAAAGCATGTTAACCAAATTAAGTAAAAATGAAAGATAAAATCGATTGTCGACCCAAATAATACCACCCACATCATTAAGTACAAATGTTAAAGATTCCATGAATATGTCGGATGTATATTATATCAACCCTGGGCCTATTCGTCTCATACTAATGTCGACAACACAGTATACATTGTATACGCCCAATTTCATTGTAGATGCATTATATCGCCATGAACCCTATCGCTTTTCAACTTGGACGGGAAGTGGGACTAACTGATTCAATGAAATAAAACTTAGTTTTACATTGAAAATTTATTTTAAAAACCTGTTATTAATGCGAAAGTCAATAGTTCAGTGCTTTATTGCGGCAATTTGGGAATTAATGGGTTAACTACAATAACAGTATTTCAGTAGATCAGGACGAGTTTGAGTTATACATCGTGGTTGGGTACCGTAAGCGTTTGCTCTACTAATGTCCTTTTCATTTAAAGTCAATATATCTTTATCTAAGTCGTGTTGCACAGTCGATTCAAAATAACCATTACCAGGCTCTGTAGTCATAATTACCTGGTAAGATATTATTTTCCAGTTCGATGTAGAATAAAGGTTCAATAGATCGGCATGTGGACTATATTTTAGGATTTTTAAAACACGTTTTATTCGCAGCAAAGCACATTTATTGCGCATTTCTGAAGTTAATTCATTTAATTTTGAAATCACCGTATATATCACCCGTATTAAAAAACGTGACTGTTCCACGGGTTGCCAGTCTAAACATGCACACCAATGTGTGCTTAATCCTGCATGCAGACATGTACGTTCTTTGGGAATTTCTTTGAATAAACTAATTCCCCGCTTTGAAATGTTTCCCATTCCTGTTCCAGTAAAATTAAGGATTTCTTTGAGTGTTTCATATATATCCAAAGGGGTAGTTAATCGATGTGCATTGATTTTGAAATTCCTAATAACTTCGGGATACACACGTTCAAACCATGGCGGAAATCTGAAGGAAAAAAAGGACATTCTTTCCTCCTGTTTACCCTGAACTGTTGACCGAAAGTTTTCGAACCTGGCTCCATGGTCACTCATAAATATTAACAAAGTTTCATTTAAATGTCCACTGCTTTCTAAATATTTCATTAGCTCAACAATATCTTCATCCATATATTCGATATTATTGTTATTTTCATGACTGATTTCACCATGAAAACCAAACATAAACTTTCTCTTGGATTCGTACACTTTGAACATATCTTTAAGATATTCCATAAAATAAATATGTTTAGGTTTAGAACCATAACAATATGGTCGATTGATGGGTGGGTTCTTCATAAACAAACTTAGGAAGGAATGTAAATATGACCTTAACAACGGCATTAATCCATATTCCAATTCAAAATCCGCTGCGACATAGAAAGGTCTTAGGTAGTGATCTGTAGGTGGACTCTGGAATCCGTTTAACTTAAACTGAAAACAACCGAGTCCAGGGAGATCATCAGCCCAAAGAGTAACGTAGCCGGCTTGTTTAAAGTCTTTCCATATGAAAGGTTTTTCGTCAAATGTTGTCGCGTCTTTGAAACCCTTTCTCATATCCCCTAACTCTTCCAATAAATGCCCTGTTAACATGGGTGCAAGAAACCTAATAGTACCGTCCCCAACAATATTATAGTTCTCTAATTCTATTCCTTTTAAAATGTTCAAAAAATAATTTCTAGATTTAGGAAGTTTTCTTATGGATGTCATTCGGGACACGGAATCCAATCCAAAGATAAAAACATTTAAATCTATGCGTTTATGTTGCTGCTTTAGTTCCTTTAAACTACCGAGTATCTTAGGATTATATGCAACTCCCATGTGTCTATTGGTATAAGAATGTCCTTGATTTGAGTCACATTCTGCTCTAAAGAAATCGAAGAGTAATAAAGTTCCATTTTTGATATTTTTAATGCATTTACCTTCGACAGTATGAAAATCGTCCCGGAAAAGTAAGGGGTAAATGTCACAGGTAATATCGCCATATAATTTCTGAATGTTTTTCGATATATAAAACGTGCCGTTGTCAACGTACACCCAATTCTCTTCTTCGCTACACTGCAATTTGGGAATACTGTAGAAATATTTAGCTAGGGAGGGGTGGTAAGGATCTAACTTTGGATGAACACATGCTGTTCTTGAATCATTTTGTGCTTGTTTTCGAGGAAGTACTTCGGTGGAATGATCTTTGCTGGAAAAGTATTCGTTCAAAATATGTGTGTAAACTTGTTCGTCTTTAGTAGATATAGGCCTTGGTTCTTTGTCAAGATTGGATCTTCTCTTCTCGTTAATACCTGTGTGTACCGTGTGCAGGTTATATAATATGATGATCGCCAGAAAACCAACAGAGATAAGAAATAACAATCGGTTCCGTTTCTTCAAAGAACAAATTATCCAGTGTTTGGCCAAACCGTATAAATTCAACATATAAACCATTTTATCTGCAATAGAAAAAGAAATTAAATTTTCAACGATTGTCAGGAACCAGTGTGGTTCATTAACCTGAATGTACCCTTTCGATCCCGGTCTTGGTGGAGACAGTTCCCAAGGAAACTAACGAGAAGATCCTGCGATCAATCCGGTGATGGCCGAGAAAGTTACTAGGGATTTTCCAGCGTAGTTTCGCTTTGTCACTGATGTGGCAAGCTGATCTAGCAAGGAACCGTGTCTAGTCGTTTGGGTGGGACGAAAAATCACACGAATACGTAAAAGATCCCCTGACTGTTTGAATTCAACACTACATTGCATATGCATTAGCCCAATTAGCAAGTAAATATGACGTTAAACTCTATTTCATTTGTATGAACGGTTTCGTTGTATGCAGACCAAGTTCCCCGTTTTGGCGAAACAACATAAATTCAACATATAAATCATTTTGTCTGCATTAGAAATACAAAATCTGTTATCGCTGTCCGGAACCACTGTCACTCAGTGCGTAAGACGCTGATTCACTAAATGGATGGGGGATCCCTGTGTTAGCTGAGAAATTTTCGCGTCTTAGGAATGTTGTCCGACACCGAACAACATCTAGACATTCAGATGGGTTCCCAAAATGTCGAGGTCTCCTGGCAGATGAAATTCGATTAATCATTGAATGAAACGGTGTGTATCGAACTTCAGCTCCAACCGGGATTTATTATATGGTGAAATTTATGAGAGAAGCTAAATTATATCACAAAAACAAAATATTTATAACATTAAACAGATCTTTAACGCATACAAATATTTAATTGTAAACATAATATGGTGAAAAACTATATCACAAAAAACAAATATTTATATCCATTAATAAAAACAAATATCACAGTTCGAGTATCTAAAATTATACATAGATTTATTTTATTGGTACTTCAAACAATAAAGACAAGAATTACCAATAGGGTAAGATTGACAAAAATTATGACTGCAAACATTGTAATGGACGGAAAGACACATGACATCATTATTTATCCTAACGGTTAAGGGGTCTCACAGTTTCAGGTCAATACCCCATATGTCAGTCAAAACCTAGTGTGACCACCATTGGCATTGATCACTGCCACACATTTTCTGTGCAGTGAGTGGAACAGGCGATTTGCGAAGGCCTGGGGATCCCCCTGCACACACCCAGAGCAGCTGTGCGTATTTTATCGGCAGTTGTTCATACGCCTTTGAACCTCATCCCACAAGTGTTCGATTGGGTTCAGATAAGTGACGAGGGCTGGCGACGGTAGAACACGGATATTGTACTGTTGGGAACAGGCCATGGTAGCGCTGGCAACATGAAGACGAACGTTGTCCTGCTGGAAAATGTATTGTTGATGTTGTGCAATAAATGGAACAGCGCGAGGTCTTATAAGACTGAGCTGTGACGCCGTGTCCCCGACCTTGACCTACATTCTGGAAGCACATTGGTCCAAGTATCACATTAAGTCCAGTCCCTGTCCATATCATAACGCTAGACCCTCCCAATGGATCCAATTTCAAAACGTTTCTGTTGGCGAAACGGTCACCTCAACCCTGCCCAATTCTAACTCTTCCATTTACATGGGGACACAAAAAGCGACTCTCGTCAGAGACGGTGACACGTCTCCACGCACGATGTCGTCAATTATGATGACCACTGAAATCGTGCCTGTCGATATCCTGGTTAGAGAACGGCGAATTGCTGGTCAGCGACACCTTAGGTTGTTGGAACGTAGGCGTCTGATCACAGAATCCCGGCTAATACGTCCATTATGTCATGGTCTCTCGAGCAGCTTGGAACCGATCTCGCTGGCGGTGATGAGTAATCTGCCGATCTTGTCAAAGTGAGGTGACTCTGGGACGACAGCTCCGAGGAAGGTCATCTGTGATCTGTGTTGCATTGTATCCATGCTGGAGACGGTAACTTGTGGTTATGTTTACGTTGAAATGATGGACAACCTCTTGTACAGACTCTCCAGCTTCCAAACGTCTGATAGCCTGGTTTCTCTGAATTGTAGTTAAGCGTGGCCTTGTTGAACAATGCCAAATATTGGTCACGGTTTTGTCCCACCAAAGGTCGGGAAAACTCGTGTACGTTCGATTTCACGAGAAATGTTTGCATGATGCTCAGATATTCATTAAAATGCATGGTGCATTCTGGCGATTCATTAATTCAATGCGTTCTTAATTACACGGGGCTTCCACAAAGCAATCAAAACTGTCCCTAACAACACCCGGCTGTTCAACATTCTAAACTGCGGATCAATTTCTGGTTCTGAGGTTTGTATGAGAGTTATAAAACCGGTTGGTCAAAACTATTGTGAAATGGCTTGCAAGGGTAGTACATCGAGCTGTCGTCCTTGAGATACTTGCACTCAGTCAAAATGTGCTTAACTGACAGTGAAGGCGAAAACCCTTGTTAGTGCGATAGAGGCTACAGTTTGTGACGGATTTTTTCTTCAATGTGGTGTGAAGTATTATGGTCATAAGAGCTCGAATCCTATTGATTTTCAGCACTCCGCGACCTTCACTTCCGGGGTTACTCTCCCTCCTCTGAAAACCTTGTTAAGTTTTTTCCAAATTTGGTTTTATGATTTGGGGTCGCTATTCAGTGTTAAACAGCCAGGATGAACCCTTTTAATTTTCAGCAATCTAATATTTTCTGTTACAAAGATATATTTGTCCAGAAAAGCCTGTGTACAATAGATGTGGAAAGGGACAGGGATATGGGCAGTGTAAACAAATAGTCTAAAATTAGGATAAAATCCTATAAACCAGTTTAATAGTTGTTAATATGTCGACGTTTTCATATATACTCTTCAAAAAAGTAGCGGATATTGAAATGCAAATACCTATGCAGGTTGTGATATGATAAATAGTCATGGACACTTGACATGCTTTGAGAGTATATTCACAGACGAAGAACTTATCGCCCCAACAGAACCACTGAGCTGCACATGCGACACGCAATAGCGCCATACACGGTGTATCTCTTTGCGAGTGAAATGGGGCCGTCAGATAAACCGCCCATATGAACTGTTTATCTTCATGTGTAGGCAATTGGCCTGTTATTAACATACACTGGTTAGCTCTAATAAAAACAGCAGTGCATTTCCGCAGTTTTGTATTGTTGCTGAATATCCCCTACGTTTTTTGAAGAGTATAGTTCACATAATCCATGCAACAATTTAGAGCGTGTATACGGACTGACAAGTGTATTCTTCACGAGAATAAACCTGTATTCCATGATGGTCTATTTTAGACACAATAGAAAGGCGTCGTCGATTTTTTCCTTCGCAGCTTGATGTTATAAACAGTGATGTGAATGCAACGTTGTCTCTTGCGTCTATTTAGAAAAGGTTGGCTCAAATTCAACTACAAATCAGAAGATCTGCATTCATCAAATCTCATAACTACAAACAGAATACCGCTTGGTAATGTCTATTATGTAGACAATTCATGTATCAAATATATGACAAGTTAATTAATAATCTAGCTTAATTTACCTTATTTGTTTTGTGTAGGTTTTAGCATGGCACGTTTGGATGACAATGATTACAGTAGCAGTCGAAATATACAAAAATCTGTCAACATAACAAAACAACACAATTACAATTGAGTTATCTTTATAACGCTTGAGGCTATCCTCTTGTGTGTCAAACTAACGTGTATGCGTGTAAATTTATTCGAGCGGTATTAGGCACTGACTTGCTCGAGACCATAAAACCACATAAAATACAGACAGTATCCTCCACGTGTATTTAATGACATCGTCAAGCGAGTTCAGAATATTTCAATAACGTACGATTGGCACGTTGCCCGTACCGTCATTTGAAATAATGGTACGCCAACATCAATGGTCACATCTGTATTTTAAGCAGAATTATTTCCGTTATCCACCGACACCCTTTTAATTCTAAAGGCCCGGTCCCACTGCACTTACGGATGCAAAGAGAATGTAAAACGGGGGAAAAACGTGCCCTCCGTTTGAAAACGCCATGCATCCGTTGTGTACTCATTGCATACTTGTTTCATACGCTCTAACCATTGAGCATCCGTTCACTTTGATTTCATCCGCGCAAAAAGATTTGAGCTGCACAAAACTTTTATAACGGATAAACTTTCTGCCGTGTAAGATGTAAATGCGCGACATATACGAGCACCAAACGTTCCATGTCCGTTATCATCCGTTAAACGTCCACTGTATCCTCTCTGCATCCTCGCAACTCACATCCGCTCCAGCTGAAAACGGAAAGAGGGAGGAAAGATAAGGTACATGGAACGTCTATACATCGTTAGTAGCACGGAAATAGAAAGGATGTAAGCGTATGCATCTCGTATATAAAGTTTTCAAAACGGACAAAGCGTTTGTATCTGGGATGTATCTGGTATATTGAAGGATGTCTGGAGTTTGCCTAACCCCTTCGGAGCTGTCATCCACTTACATCCGCTTTCACCCGCTAGGCTTCCGATGACACCCATTTAACATCCCCGCTACATACTTCCCACGTTCGTTCTTTTCCGTTCTGTTTTCGCAAATTTTCGTCAATTTTGTCCATTTCTGGAGCGGATGAAAACGGATGGAGCCACCCCCGAAAGTTTGCTCGTCCGCTGTGTCCTTTTTGCATACGTTTTGTGTCCATCAGCCACTGGGACCGGGCCTTACGTTATTATACACCAATACATAACAAGCGGTTGTCATACAAGATACACCCACATTTTGCAATAGGAGAACAGGGAAAATAAAAAGGACTAATCCTCACATTGTTCCAATGATTGAAATCGAATATGAAAGAAATGTGTTAAAAACTGTAGCCTCAAACGCGTTTTAGCGAAGGGGGATACCTTCGGAAAGGAATGTCACGGATTGCTGAATATCGATAGGGTTTGTCCTCTTATGATCCCAATGGTTTTCAGTACTTATCTAGTTTTATAGTCTGATGATATATTTCACATTTCTTTATTTTCAGTTTACTGAATTAATATATTTACGTTTTCCTTCGTCCGGTTTTTATAGTCTAATAATAGGTTTTATCTTTCATGATTTCAAGTTCATTGAATTAATATATTTACGGTTTCTCTCGTGCAGTTTTACAGTCTTGTAATAGGTTTTATCTTTCATGATTTTCTGTTTATTGAATTAATATATTTTTTATTTGTCCTGCTTTTCCGACGTGGTTTTCCCTTGTCAGTGGTGCAGGACGGAGAGCCTGACAAGGACAACTGTCTCGTCTTCATTAGCCCAGTCGGAGCAGAACAGTAAGACGTTAAATATCATTTCATTTAATTTCACACCATTGCAGGGGTTGGAGTATAACTTGGGTGTATTTGTACACCCAGTATAAAACCTTGAACGCTAAACTTCGAGGGCTACAGACGAAGTTAAAGAACTTTAACTTCCTTCTGAACTGTCTCTTCATCAAACAGGTTCTACACATCATTGCTATTCCTTCAATCTCTATTGAGAGTCAAGCCTTCTTCATGTTGAATTACCCCAGCTTGTGCAACGCACTTGAGAATCAAATGATGAGTTGAGGGTGGAAACTCTTGACAGTTTCCGAAAAGCTCGTTCTGTGCTAAAATGGAAGATGGATGGCTAATTCAGTGCATATGAGAAGACTTCCTCAAAACAAATCTAAATGCAGTTAAAATCACCTTGGCGTTTTGATGAAGTATCAGAGAGACTGCGATTAGATGTGCCAGACAATGAACTGTACATGAATATGCGATTTATATAGTCTGTAAAAATATAAGTTACAAAACGATCGAACTGGCTGAAATTTGGTGATGCGCTATCAGAATGGAATGTCGCGCAACGTTTATTATCGACAGTATTCATCCCCAGACTTACAAGCTGAAGCCTCTATCGTGTTCAAAAAGGTTTCGAAAAAGGTGGTGCAACGCTGAATATCGAATGGTGAGGGTGGCGACATAATGCGTCTAAAAACCAGCTGAAATGTTTCATGATTAAATACTACACCAAATATAAAACAACCAACCAAACAAAATTTCTCTTAAAATATACAGTTGACATGTTTTATAGCCACGGAAAGGGGTGTCATCTAGAGGTTAAAGGGCACCATTAAAACCTGGTATAGCTACTTTTCAGATCTGGTGTTTTATTGCTAAAGTTACGGCTTACACACTCGTCTAAGTGTCATGATTGGCATATAGATGAAGTTAATGTACTTCATTTCGTTTAACCTGCTTTAAAGGGACATTGTCAGTTAATGTCTGTATTTTTAACATAGAGACAAATATGTCATTTCAGCGCGTTGATTTCTCAACAGACTTATAATAATAAATTTTATTCTTACACTAAGTGCAATAAATATGAAAAATAAATATATACAAGAAGTTCTCAATTAATACAGAGTTAATTAATTATTTCATTTAAGTTTATATATTCAGATGGTGAACGATCTCTTAAATCTATGTATTCTTGTATAGCATTTCCTATTCTCTTATCATTTTCCTTCCAGGAACTTTTATCGTGGCATTTACAATATTTATCAATGACTTACGTTCTAAATTATACTTTGTTATATTATAATGATATGATAAGTAATTGTTATTGTTGCAAATAGTAGAATGACTTTCCAACGATGCAGTACGACAACATATGAAGACATAAATCACTACTGTTTTTAATACTATGATAAAACTTAATAAAACGTTTATGAAGCTGAGTTTCAATTGTCAAATCTTGACATATACACTTTCCACGGCCAGTGCCAGAACATGGCAGTATTCGATCCTCACATTCTAGACCTGATCGTTCCACCCAGGAATAACTCCTTCGAATTACATCTTTTTTGTGTGGAATACATTTCTCACCGGCATCAATAGTGATTCTGACAAGAGTATCAAAATAGAGAGAGAGAGAGAGGCGGAGAGAGAGAGAGAGGGGGAAATGGGGTTTAACGTCCACTCGACACAAACTAGGTAATTTCGGGACTAACATATGGTTTAATTTTATTTCACTAATTCGCTTGCGCGTAGGGGTCTTTAGCAGTGGAAGGAAACCGTAGCACCCGGAGAAAACCCACGAGGTTGGACAGGCGCCCCTACTCATTGTCATGCACAACCGGGGATTCGAAACCACGCCAGTTAACTCAGTGACAGGCTTTATGATACTATCAAAATAGACCTCAAGTTCTACTTTATGTTTTGTACATTTAGAATTTTGACAGTATAAATCATTGTATGGTATACTAATATTATCAAGTGATTGATACTCTTGAATGCTTTTAGGCGTTGCTTTATTCCATCGAATACTAGGACGTACAGGATTTGTTGCTGTCGTTTCATAATAGTCAGTTGGAATAACACTGATCGGATAGATTATCTACATCATGACTAGATTTATAGCTTATAATGTCACTAATTAAAGGGACTATCCCGATTTGAACATAGTTTGAAAAATAAAAATCCGAGTACGTATAAAATTTAAACGCCAAAATACAGATGAATGGTGTATTTACCTAGTCTCAAAATTTTAGCTCAAAATATTAAGTCGTTTGGCCGTAAACGTCAAAACCGCTTATCAGGACACGTAACCCTTTTAAGATTTCGGATCAATTCTTTCGTTGGGTGACCTGATAATAGATTGCCGTTCATATTGGAGATCTATACAGTGCATGACCCAAGTGCTGTACTTCATAACGAAAGGTAAAATTCACCTACAAGTTCTTTTTTATAAAGTAAAAATCTGGTTTTATCCAGACACCGTATAATACAGCTTGGGACACCAGTCTCCATTTTCTGATGAAGACTGACGGGTTTACGTTGTTTGAAAACGTATCACGTATATTGAATTAGTTGCTCGGCCCCAGGATAGAGGGTTTTAAGGGATTTTAACACAAAATTAGGCCCCTTTATTCTCCAAAATATATTCGAGATTGGCTCTTTAAATTCTGAGATAGAAAAAAGTGATCTATAGTCGATTTTTCACCGTTGATTTTACTTTTACAGGAGTATAACACATTGCTTGATATGTGGTTGATACCGCACTCTAAAGAGAGATTTGTGGTAAATTCGGTTAGTCGTATCGTTTGGATGAACGTAAGGCGTTTTAAGTCTGTATTCAAATCCTCTCCTATAATAACATGATATGTTGGGTTTTGTTCTACAACTGTTTGAATCTCTTGTAACGTGTGATCGAATTCGATCAGATTACAACTATCACAAGGCATGTAAACGTTACAAATGTTTATATCTCTACATTTTACGGTTATAGCGCATATTCGTTTCGACTGAAATGCTATTGTTAGTAATAAACACAGAAGGCTGCTACGCCAGAGAATTGAACAACCCCCGCATGGCCTGCCAAGAATCATTTGATTGCTTTGCATGCTCGAGATTCCATGAGAACCTATGTTAGAAGCCAGCGTTCTTGGATAAGCACAATATCAGTCATCACATAGTTTTGAGATATAATTGATACGGCCAGTTCCTGAACCATGCGAGTTATATGTTGCGATATTAAGGGCCGCCATGAGTTAATTGCTCGGTACGAGGAGCATGAGGAATAAATCGTGGAACTCGAACACCTTGGGGCCAAAGAGATTCATCAAAGAGTTTTCCAAATTCTTCTGATGACAACCAGAGCTTAAACGATTTGAATTTTGAGAGATGGTTCGAGACACATACCAGTTTATTTATTGTAAAGTTTTCGGATTCCAAAAAAGTAGATATTTGGTTCTCAGTTGCGTCTTTATCAACTCGATATATGAATAAGTGTCTAAGAGGTGCGGGGGCGCCTTTAAAAGATGACGAACCTGGAGATGATCTTCCTGTAATAAACTGATTTGTCTCTGAGCCCATAGTTTAATCTTTTTATCTAGTAATCTATGGTTATCCTGGTTACGCTTTTGACATTATAGTTTCGACTATCCAGATATTATCACGTTTCCATCATGTCTGTCGTTTAAAGTAATTCTTTTAATCGATAGATGTGAAACCCGCCTTACTTAGTTAGCAAGAGCAATTGTGACTTAAATTCTAATAATGTGGCGTAAGTGTGATGTCCCCGTGTTTAATTTTGGATTAAGACCATCGTGATATGGAATTCAAAGGTTTATTACACTAAACAAATCTGTTTTTCATCATGCTTACCCATCATCAAATTCAACGTTAATCAAACAAGCGAGTCCCAATCCCAAAACAGAGACAACACATATTAATTAAATTGCACATTTAACTGTTTGAAAAGCATCGGGCAATCAATCTGTTTACATTATACTAACATGCTTAAGATCGAACTAAGTCATGGTTTTGATGTAGTGAAAATATACACCAAGTTTAACCACTCTCACACAATCGGAATCAAAGCTACCAATTGCTTATACACTGCTGTATGTGAGCCGGATTTAGTCTTGAAATTGAATCAAAGTTATCGAGCTCCATAGCCTCGACCATACAATTTGATTACAACCCTGCTTAAAGGGACAATAACACTCTTGCTGGCTTGACAGCTCCAGAAAATAAAAAATAGCCTTATTCTACGTACTAGATGTGTTAAGTGTCCTACCTGTTGTGTAAATTATCCATTAAATCCTATTTTAATTGTCCAAAGGGTTTAAAAATATTTTTAAATCCAAGTCACATTTGAAAAGCTTTACGTCAGGCTTTTCAAATCATTTAGTTGAATTTTTCCAATTTTTTAAATTAGGTGTGTTAAGATAAAATTTGTATCATCAATTAATTGGAATATTGTAAAATAGTACAATTTGTGGACCAGAATAAAGATTGGGACATATTATTCAGTTACAACAAGAGTGGTATTTAACCATTTGTGTTGGGGTGGGGGTGAGTGGTTAACGCGCGCGCGTTGGATCTTAAGGTCTGTTATTGAGTTAAGTGGCGTGGTTTCGATTTCTCGCTTGTATGTGATCTTAAGAGTGGTATTTAACCATTTGTGTTGGGGTGGGGGTGAATGGTTAACGCGCGCGCGTTGGATCTTAAGGTCTGTTATTGAGTTAAGTGGCGTGGTTTCGATTTCTCGCTTGTATGTGATAAGGAATAGGATCGTCTGTCCATCCTCTTGGGTTATCTCCGGGTCCTCCGGTTTCCTCCCATTGCTAAAGACCACTACGTGCAAGCGAATTATTGAAATAGAATTGAACCATATGTTAGTCCCGAAATGACTTAGTTTGTGTCGAATGGACGTTAAACCCCTTCCCCCCTCTCTCTCTCTCATAACCATTTCAGCAGATGGTAAATTATGTGGTCTGTAGAGCGTTCACAAGAAATTGTAAAGAACGGTCAGGTGACGACAATATTATAATGAAATAAAACTTATATAAGTTAACATCTAACATTTATTTTACAAAATTATTCCTAAAATAACAAAAATCCCTTGGAAAAAATCTACACTATAGAAACAAACCATCAGTATATAAATTATCGCTCTTACTTAGCTCAACAAATAGCAATACACTGAAAAATCTTCGTATATATTTATATTTGGTTACGAAGAAACCCTAGTAACAAACTTATAATGAAATGAAATGAAATGGGGTTTAACGTCCTACTGTTCTGCTCCTATGCTGGGCTAATGAAGACGGGCATACGCCATACAGTGTGCTATGAGGGAAATTTTGCCCGGGCAGCGGCACTATCGCCTACTCTTATATCGAATTCCAACTGCCAGGGAATCTTTTACGTGCATTCTAATGTATACACGGTACCTCGGTTTTTCGTATCATCCGAAGGACTAGACAGCTGTCCTTGTCAGCCCCCCCCCCCCGTCCTGCATCACTGACAAGGGAGAACCACGCCGGAAAATCTGGATTAACTTTCTCGGCAAATGCAGGGATCGAACACCCGACCTCCAGGCTAGCGAGCCAGCGTCTTACCCACTTAGCAAACTTATAATAACTGTTTTGCAAAATGAATTAATTTAATTAAATAAGCAAATAATTTCTATATTACTTATTGTTGACTGATATTCTCATGAACAATATGTATTGCCCTATGTTAAACGGTCTAATTATACGCATTTGGAATAAACAGTTACAATGCAATAGTAAAACACAATATCGATATGTATAAAAAATATACATTATAGTACGACGTTAAATACACACACAAACAGACACACACACACGTACGCAACCAGTCAATAGTTCGGTGCTTTTTTGGGGAATTAACGGATCAACTACAATAACAGTATTTCAGTAAATCAGGATGAGTTTGGGTTATACATCGTGGTTGGGTACCGTAAGCGTTTGCTCTACTAATGTCCTTTTCATTTAAAGTCAATATATCTTTATCTAAGTCGTGTTGCACAGTCGATTCAAAATAACCATTACCAGGCTCTGTAGTCATAATTACCTGGTAAGATATTATTTTCCAGTTCGATGCAGAATAAAGGTTCAATAGATCGGCATGTGGACTATATTTTAGAATTTTTAAAACACGTTTTATTCGCAGTAAAGCACATTTATTGCGCATTTCTGAAGTTAATTCATTTAATTTTGAAATCACCGAATATATCACCCGTATTAGAAGATGTGACTGTTCCACGGGTTGCCAGTCTAAACATGCACACCAATGTGTGCTTAACCCTGCATGCAGACATGTACGTTCTTTGGGAATTTCTTTGAATAAACTAATTCCCCGCTTTGAAATGTTTCCCATTCCTGTTCCAGTAAAATTAAGGATTTCTTTGAGAGTTTCATATATATCCAAAGGGGTAGTTAATCGATGTGCATTGATTTTGAAATTCCTAATAACTTCGGGATACACACGTTCAAACCATGGCGGAAATCTGAAGGAAAAAAAGGGCATTCTTTCCTCCTGTTTACCCTGAACTGTTGACCGAAAGTTTTCGAACCTGGCTCCATGGTCACTCATAAATATTAACAAAGTTTCATTGAGATGTCCACTGCTTTCTAAATATTTCAATAGCTCAACAATATCTTCATCCATATATTCGATATTATTGTTATTGTCATGACTGATTTCACTATGGAAACCAAACATAAACTTTCTCTTGGATTCGTACACTTTGAACATATCTTTAAGATATTCCAAAAAATAAATATGTTTAGGTTTAGAACCATAACAATATGGTCGATTGATGGGTGGGTTCTTCATAAACAAACTTAGGAAGGAATGTAAATATGACCTTAACAACGGCATTATTCCATATTCCAATTCAAAATCCGCTGCGACATAAAAAGGTCTTAGGTAGTGATCTGTAGGTGGACTCTGAAATCCCGTAAACTTATACTGAAAACAACCGAGTCCAGGGACATCATCAGCCCAAAGAGTAACATAACCTGCTTGTTTAAAGTCTTTCCATATTAAAGGCTTTTCGTCAAATGTTGTTGCTCCCTTGAAACCCTTTCTTACCTCCCCTAGCTCTCCCAATAAAAGCCCCGTTAACATGGGTGCAAGTACGGTAAGAGTAGCGTCTCCAACAATATTATAGTTCTCTAATTCTATCCCTTTTAAAATGTTCAAAAAATAATCTCTAGATTTAGGAAGTTTTCTTATGGATGTCATTCGGGACACGGAATCCAACCCAAGGATAAAAACATTTAAATCGATGCGTTTGTGTTGCTGCTTTGGTTCCTTTAGACTACCGAGTATCTTAGGATTATATGCAACTCCCATGTGTCTATTGGTATAAGAATGTCCTTGATTTGAGTCACATTCTGCTCTAAAGAAATCGAAGAGCAATAAAGTTCCATTTTTGATATTTTTAATGCATTCACCTTCGACAGTATGAAAATCGTCCCGGAAAAGTAAGGGGTAAATGTCACAGGTAATATCGCCATATAATTTCTGAATGTTTTTCGATATATAAAACGTGCCGTTGTCAACGTACACCCAATTCTCTTCTTCGCTACACTGCAATTTGGGAATACTGTAGAAATATTTAGCTAGGGAGGGGTGGTAAGGATCTAACTTTGGATGAACACATGCTGTTCTTGAATCATTTTGTGCTTGTTTTCGAGGAAGTACTTCGGTGGAATGATCTTTGCTGGAAAAGTATTCGTTCAAAATATGTGTGTAAACTTGTTCGTCTTTAGTAGATATAGGCCTTGGTTCTTTGTCAAGATTGGATCTTCTCTTCTCGTTAATACCTGTGTGTACCGTGTGCAGGTTATATAATATGATGATCGCCAGAAAACCAACAGAGATAAGAAATAACAATCGGTTCCGTTTCTTCAAAAACCAAATTATACAGTGTTTGGCGAAACCATACACATTCCTCATATAAACCATTTTATCTGCAATAGAAAAAGAAATTGATCGAGAATATGACAATCGTCTGCCACAATTTGGTTATATCTTAAAATTGTCAAAACATCAAACATTCATAACCTCCTTTAGAATAAAGTAATTTGACATTTTTTCATTATCTATTTTTGGACTAAGTATAACAAGAACGACCAGCTCCTTACATAATGCACGTTCACGTAATTTCACCAAACTAGGCATTAGGAATGCAGCCAGGTTTTCAAACTATTTATAGGCGCAAAAACTAAAGAAATTAGATTATTTCGATCGGATTTTATTTTCTCGTGTCATTACACTGCGTAGTGAATGATGCAAGATTTGGTTGCGAAAGATCAACCAGACCCATCCAGAAAACCTGTTAACATCAACACTATGGTTGTCCGCAAAGGATCAATCAGAACCACCTTGAAACATTGTTAATATCAATACTATGGATGCTACTTGTTGTAGGCCTATTTAATTATGTCACACGGTTATTACCAAAACCCCAGGTATATCATAACTACATGTAAATTAAAATTATTTTGTCAGCGTTGTTTGAACCCTTGCCACCCTGTTATTCGGCAATATAAACGTAAAAAAACCACCGGATATATGAAGTGAATGTCAAAAAATAATTCACGCCTTAAAAGTGCAGAAACGCAATTGTGGACCGAGGGACGTACATAAAGCTATTATTGATATGGCAGTAATCTTTTTTTAAAATTTCCACCCAATCTTTCAAAACGAAGTCTATGGTGTTCTATTTCGGCCATTGCCTGCGTCGCCCTCGAAAAAAGGCGACGCACCAGGCCAAATCCGCGTCGCCTTTTTCAAGCTATGGAGAAAAAAAAGCAACGTCGGCTTTTTAACACGACGTTGCCTTTTAAAAGGCGTCGCGTTACGCGTTGTCTTTTCTAAACATATATTGTTTACATTGTTGGTGATGAAATGCGCATGTACCGGGAGAATTCATTTGTAGTTTATTTGCCGTTTGGTATTTTATCTTCAATACATTGATTTATGCTGGACACAAGAGACTGCCATTAATATTCTTTATATACTCTTCAAAAAAAGTAGGGGATATTGAAATGAAAATACCTATGCAGGTTATCATATGATAAATAGTCATGGACACTTGACATGTTTTGAGAGTATGTTCACAGATGAAGAACTTATCGCCCCAACACTCTTTGCGAGTGAAATGGGGCCGTCAGATAAGCCACCCATATGAACTGTTTATGTTCATGTGTAGGCAATGGCCTGTTAATTAACATACACTGGTTACCTCTAATAAAAATATTTCTATAATATCCAGATTATGTGTTATATTTTAAATCTCTGTTCTAAACTTAAAATTTTAAACTCTACTATGAAAGAGTGACCTCGTGCTATCTGCAAATACAGACACTATAGTTAAACAAACGATGAAAGGGTACTGATAACGACGTGGGTGTGGTTTCCGTTATTTACATCAGTTGTTTTATAGGTTCTTAAGACAGAATTAATACGAGAATATTTTTATTGTGGATATCCTACGACGAATGTATTAGCAACTCTACAGAAATCAGATTAATATCGATGTTGAAAGAATCCGAGATAAGGTTCACTTCTGCACGATTGTCGCACAGTCTATAAACATTGGATCGCATATGGGAACCAAAGGGAACTACTACACCCTCACAAGCCTATGTAGAGCCCCAGGGCAAACGTTACAGTGCCCCGCCACTGCATACTGTTACTGCGTTGTTCAGTGTCTTCGCTCAGTTGTATTGTGATGATCAAATAAATTTTAAAATATCATCTTTCATACTTTTAACACCTTGCCTAAATAACTATTTATTAAATTTATTAAATTTTTTATATTTATTTTCACGTCATCTCTCCGTTTGATCGAAAAAACCTATAATATGTCTTGGAAAAATCATAATTCCACCCCTCTATTTGTTGAAATTTGTCCTGGTTTACACATGTTTATGAGAAGCGGGTGATTTGTTATCTCAGCCCCCCCCCCCCCACACACACTCCCCCCCCCCCCCAAGAAAAGTCGCCCCGGGCGTATGCCACAACCCCCCACCCCTGCTAATATGTTCGTCTTCGGATATAAAAAAAAAATATTCTCGTATTAATCTTATTAATTCTGCCTGTAAAAATGTCAAGGAATGTGCGTCCATACTATAAGTAATACCACACTTGAGAACCTATAAAACAACTGATGTAAATAACGGAAACCCACAACGTTATCAGTAACCTGTCATCGTGTGTTTAACTATAGTGTATGACTGTATCTGCAGAGACCACGGGGTCACTCATTCACACCAGAGGCCTGTTTCGCCAAATTTTAACTAAGATAAAGTCCAAATTTTAGTAATTTGATTGGGTAATATTAGATTGATTTTAGTGCTTAGCCAATCAAAATTGAAGTATCTACCAAAATTTGGATTTTATCTTTAGTTACTCTTATATCGAATTCCAGCTGCCAAGGGATCTTTTACGTCCACGCCAATGTTGTGTACTTGAGACCTCGGTTTTTCGTCCCATCCGAACGACTAGACAGCTGTCCTTGTCAGGCCCTCCGTCCTGCATCACTGACAAGGGGAACCCACGCCGGAAAATCTGGATGAACTTTCTTGGCCAATGCAGGGATCGAACACCCGACCTCCAGGCTAGCGACCCAGCGTCTTACCCACTTAGCCACGTGTTTCTCCTATAGATTGTGAAGCATGACACACAAAGATATGGATAGTGTAACTAAAATATAAATCTACAAACTAGTTTAATTGTCGTCACTTTGTCGACGTGACACATTTAGAATTCAGGTAATCTATTGTGATCTATTTCGGAAACTTTGAAAAAGGCGTCTTCCTTACTTCCTTCATGGCCGCCTTCCTTCATACTAAAAACAGTGATATGTGATTTGATGGAGATGTTGTTAATGAGATGTTGTCAGACGATCTTCATTCCTCAAAATATCTTCACTACAAAGAGAATCCCGTTTGTTGATGTCTATTGTGTAGACAATTCCTGTATCAAAAATAATGCAGTGAGTTCTGCATAAAACTGATATTGACCCATTTATATCGCCTTACATAAGCACAATTATAGCTGACATACATCTAATAAGATAACGTGTTTGTCTTTCAAATATAGCTCACATACATATACATGTAATACGATAACTTTGTTTTATCTAGGTTCACCATGACAAATTTACTAATAATATAGCGTAGGTTACCTTGTTGTTTCTATCTCGGTTCAGGTCTAACTAGTGTCACACTGATCCGCAGCGAATATTCGCTAGGCCGCGACAATCACTGATAAGGATGACGACACCGATGCGACTTAATGAGCCACAAATATTATCTTTTTTCCTCCGACAAATTAAATTCTTAAACAAATTGTAGGTAAAATTTATTTCCTATTTTAGTGTAAATGGTATCAAAATGAATAAAAGACGCCATTCTGCTCGAATCAGTAACGTTTTATGTAAAAAAATGCACGCGCCATGGAGCCAATGATTGACGCCGCGTGATATGACGTCCTGTGTTGAAGGCAGTTATCTTTTACAGAGATATTAGAAGACTTTCGTAATACTCTGTAAAACAGATTGGTCTAGTGTATGGACACAGCTCACCAAATTTTTCTACGCCGTGGCGAAAGTTATTTTTAGTCATTCTCTCCCGTTCCCTTTTCCCCATTTTGCATGGCGATTTTTGTTGACTTCGTAGTGTAGAATCGAAGAAATGGCTTGAAAATACATTTTCTACCAGGTTTTAGTGAATATTCATGATGTTGAGGCGGAAGGATACAAGAGTTGAGAAGTTGGTTAGGTTGAAATGTAGGGTCGAAAATTGCATGTTTACTTATCTCTACTTCCAGTTTGTGTATCTCAAGTTTTCCATGGTGAACCTCATACGTGCTTTTGGGCAAGAGGTTGCCACATGTTGCTCAATCTGTGGTAGAAAGCGTTGTACCCAACGAAAATTTGGGAAAAAGTTAGAGTCGGTCTAAGAGACGAGAATTAACATTAAAGTCAATGGGGAAATCATTAGTGATCTGTGGCCGTATGGTGGCCTATCGTCATCATTCATTATTTTATCCAAACAAATATTAAATTAAAAAAAAATATGTTAAACTTGAAAATGAAATTAAATTGAAAAACAAAAATAAACTAAAAATAAAAATTAGATCATATTTCGAAAATAAACCTAAAATAAAATTACAAGCAGACAAAGAATTAAATCAAAATCAAAATCAAAATTAAATCAAAATCAAAATTAAATCAAAATCAAAATTAAATCAAAATAAAAATTAAATCAAAATTAAATCAAAATTAAAATTAAATCAAAATCAAAATTAAATCAAAATCAAATCAAAATCAAAATGAATTTC